CGCCTGCTCTGAGGTGCGCCAACATAACGACGCTCATCGAAAGGCTCCTGCATCACACTGACCTCACGGAATCGAGGCTGTGAGGCACGAACAGCGGACGGCTGGATGCTCTCGTGTCGGACGTAGCCTTCCGGCACTTCTCGACGAACGACTTCTGGCCGCATACTGTACGATCGCGCTGAAGCATACTCTCGTGGCGGACCCATCTCCTCGTACTGTGGCGCAGCGCGATATTCCACCTCTACAGGTCGGCGAGAGGGTTCTCTTTGCCTATACGGGCTCTCAATCATTTCAGGTTCAGAGGCCTCAACATAACGTCGAGGAGGCGGGGGCATTCTCTGAACAGCGTCTTCTTCGTACATTTCTGGTCGTGCCGGTGCACGCATCGTGGGCTCCCGCGTCACAGCCCGCTCGTAGTATGGCTCAACCTCCACTCGCCTGCTAGGTGGTGCCATCGACTCTCGCGCATCCACTGGTGCCGCATAGTACTTTTGTCCATACTGATCCACCACAATTCTGCGTGGCGGTGGAGCCATGAGCGGCTGAGAGGGCATGTATTCATGTATAGGTGATCGCGAACGTTCGCGTACGTATCTGGGTGCGGCTGATGGGCGGGCTGAGGCTTCGCGGAAAACGGGCGCTTCGGCGCGTTCGACGAATGCATGCGATGCTGCGCGAATCTGTCGAGGCTCGGGCGCTGCGTACATCTCGTTGACACCACCTGGCGAGTAGGGGCGTCGAGCATATTGCAGGCTTGCGACCCGCCTAAGGTCCTGTTCGTCGCGCAACGATTTCCGCTGCGGCGTGCGTATGACAGTCGGGGACAAGGGCTCGTCGTACTCTCGGTAAGATCGTGCCATGGGTTCCGGATCGCGGTAGTAGACAGGCTGTGTTCTGGGGCTGCCTTGTGCAGAAACAAGCTCTATTTCGTCGGGATGAGGCTGTAGCGCACGACGCTTACTCGGTTGTGAGTCGGGATAAGCTGTGAAAGGGGGTGGTGACTGCGGCTCTTCCTTGATGTACGGTTCTGGCGAGTTGATGACGCGTTTGTTGGCCTGTTGCTGACGCTTTTTCTCGTCGCGCTCGCGTTTCTCTTCCCGTCTCCGCTTGCGAGGGTTGTGAACTGGTGCTGCTGGACCGGTCGGACTTTGACGGCGTGATCTGCGAAACGTTAGCATGATTACAGGAAGGAGAAGAGAAGGAAGACAGGGAAACGGAATAGAGAGATGCAAGGACAGCTATGACTGATCTCAAGGCAGCAGAGATGGTGAGCCATAATACAGCGACGCTCGCTACCAAAGTCAGGGTCATGCCCCAATCTGGATGGACGAAGCTGTCGCAAAGCAGATCTTTGACTCAATGCGCGAGAAGAAAACGGAAGTGAGAAGAAGAGGAATCTTATGGTATCATACCCGTTCGTGCCGCCATGGCGGTTGCGCTGCCGACCTCTCAAGGGCTCGCTTGGACCAATCTCGGCTGGAGGTGGAGAGTAGTCTTCCTCTTCCTCGCCTTCCTCGTGCAGCTGTGCAGGCTCAGGCTCATAGATTTCTATGTCATCGGCCGGCTCATAGGCCTCTTCGTCGAGGTCGATCACAGTGGGCTCGGCTGGGCGAGAGTGGACATTCACTTGCTGAGCTGTAGGCTGCGCCTGTGATGTCAGTGGAGCTGCATCAGCATGCGTGTGGTCAGCGTGATCAACATCCTCTGAGGACCAACTGTTCGCCTTGCTAGAGTAGTACGAGTTTTCGTCAAATGACTCAACGTCGTCGCTGTTGTTAGTCGCAGACGGTAAGCCAGATACAGGCGGGACCAGTTGGTGGGCCTTGATCAAACACTGCTCGACGTCGATGAGAGCTTCTCGCTCGTCTGCATCGTTGCCACGGCCCTTTTTATCGAACTGGTCCTTCAGTGCGCGTTCTATCTGCTGCCGCTTGAGCTGCTGTTCCGCCTTGACCAGGTGTTCGGATTTTGTGAGCAAGATGGGATCGATGCTCGAAGAGGAAGACTTGGCCGAGTAGGGTCGTTGTGTAGGGGGTATAGGAGACGTAGGAGGGCGTGCTGAAGATGCTGGACGCGGAGGAAATAGTTGCGATGAAGATCCGTTGGGTGTGCCGTTGGTGGTGGGTCTGCTAGAGGCAGTCTGCGGAAGACGCGGTGCAACCTGTTCAATTACTTTGGGTGGAAGATGAATACGCGGGTGTTGGCTAGCAAGCACTTGGTCGCGTATCTGCAAAATCTTCTGGAGGAACTCGGCCTCGCGAAGCACCTCTGCAGACACTGCACTGGCACCGTTCAGATGCGACGGCACTGCGGCTGTCGACATGGAAGCGATTGGCGCTGCCATCACAACAGACGCGAACTGACTTTAGTACTGAGCACCAACAAGCGAGCGCAAGACTGGCGATTATACAAATACAGGCGAAACCCGCAGCTGCGCGGGGTGAGAAGATGATGAAGGGGAATGAGTGTATGGAGAGCAACACGCCAGCGAGTGGGCAATGAATGTCGGAGCCACGGCGCGTTTTGGTTTTCAGCAGGTGCACGCGCCAGCGCCAGCACTAGGCCCGAAGGGGATGGTGACTTCTCCATGTACCCATCACGCCTTCTACAACTGTGAATGCAGCAGTCGCATCCATTCGAGAAGAACATTGAAGATTGGCTTTCTTTTGGTCTGTGATACTGCGACAAGGTATGACGCCAACACTATATCATATGCGTCATAACTCGAAACTTACACTAAGCAGACAACCTTTGGAATCTTCCAGCGCCACTTACCCAGACAACCCATATCCCGCCTTTGCGATATCCAAGATCAATCATCATCTCGAGTGTTTGTATAGTACCAAAAGAGCCGAAACCATGTCGTTCAACACAGCAGCACCGCCAGAGACCATGGAGTACCGGTCACAACCTCAGCATGACTCAACAGCAAACAACAGCGCCGAGATCGACGAGAACGAGAAACCAGTCTTCTTCTTCGACATTGACAACTGCCTCTATCCCAAGAGCCTTGACATCCACCGCATGATGGCTGAGCTGATCGATCAATTCTTCCAGAATCACCTCAGCTTGTCACAAGAAGACGCCAATGAACTCCACTACCGCTATTACCGCGAGTATGGTCTCGCGATTGAAGGGCTCGTCCGACACCACAAAGTCAATGCACTGGAGTACAACAGCAAAGTCGACGACGCGTTACCACTGGAAGATGTCATCAAGCCCAACCCCGAACTGCGCAAGCTGATCGAGGACATCGACACCAGCAAGTGCCGCTTGTGGCTCTTCACGAATGCGTATATCACCCATGGCAAGCGCGTCGTCAAGCTTCTGCAGATTGATGATCTGTTCGAGGGTATCACTTTCTGCGACTACAGCTCGGACAAGTTCTACTGCAAACCACATGTGGAGATGTATGACAAGGCGATGGCAGAGGCTGGTATCAAGTCGAATGAGAAGTGCTACTTCGTCGGTGAGTGCTCATAAAATCTCATATTATTGTGGCCTACTAATGTATTGATACAGACGACTCGTACATCAACTGCAAGGCAGCAGAGGCACGTGGGTGGAAGACCGCGCATCTACTTGACGAGAAAGATCCCGCACCCGCTCAGCCGGCCAGCAAGTACCAGATCAGGAGCTTACAGGAGCTACGGAAGATCTTCCCAGAGGTGTTCAAAAGTTCGTGAGAAGATGCATAGACTCATATGATGGGAATAAGCGATAGACTGGAGTCCGCGCGGGCACACCATGCGTACTTGCAGATCTACGACAACGATGACTACGACTAGACGATAGACTAGATTCGAAGAAAGATAGAAGGTCAGGACATCTAGACGAAGTGTTTGGTATCAGAAGAATAAGGCCTTGCCGTTACCATGGCTCGGCATCTTATCGTTCGCCGAGGACCAGTGCTCTTGCGTACCATAGCACCACCTCTAGGCAGCAACAACCCTCCAGCTCTTCCTCTATAAAAATAAACCCCTTCATGTCTTCCACTGCAATAATCAATGAAGACACCAAAGCAATACCAGACCATGTCATCAACCACCCCAACGTCCTCCACCCCGCCCGCCCCGCAATCCTCCGCATTACCCCCAACCCACCCCTTCAACACAACCACTACCAACGCAACCACGCTCGCCGATCCCGCAACCCAACTCCCACTCGTCACCGACGCCGTAACCCCAACGCGAAAACCCTTACTCCGCCTCGAACTGCGCGACCTCTCCTCCAATGGCACCCGCGCCTTCCTGCGCCTCACACACGCGTCGCACGCGCTCGAACACGCCGTCGCAACAGTCCTCACACACCTCTACAGCGGGCTCCCCAAAACATGCATCCCAGGCACGCGTTCCGTAACCCTTGTCCTCCGCGAAATGGACGGAGTCGCATACACAACAGGTCTCGATCTCGACGACGACCACAAGGAAATCCACCTAAACACGTCTTACATCTCGCACGTGCCCGAGTCGCGGCAGAAAGAAGAGATACTGGGTGTACTCGTGCATGAAATGGTGCATTGCTGGCAGCATAGTGGGTTTGGGAGTGCACCGACGGGGTTAACGGAGGGAGTCGCGGATTGGGTGAGGTTGAAGGCGGGGTTTGCGCCGCCGCATTGGAAGAGGCATGGGGATTGTGAGTGGGATGCTGGGTATGAGCGGACGGGCTATTTTCTGGAGTGGTTGGAGAAGGAGCATGGGGAGGATGTTGTTAGGAGGTTGAATGATGGGATGAGGGAGAAGAAGTATGATGGGGAGGTGTTGTGGAAGGGATGTTGTGGGAAGGGGGTTGAGGAGTTGTGGGAGGAGTATAAGAAGAGTTTGGAGGGGTGTGAGTAGCATTGGGGAGTTGTAAGAGTTGGTGGGAGTGTGGCTTAGGCGTGGAGTACTTTACACATGGAGGTTCGGAGGATAGAAAGACGCGCGCTACATCGTGGACGAATTTACATACGACCAATACATCGTCGCTACAGCATCTACCGAACACTCTTGATATACCATCTACCTCCGCTTTCTGGCAGGAGCAGCGTTTCTAGCTGGAGCAGGCTTCCTAGCTGGAGCAGCATTCCCTGGACCTGTAGGCCTGGACGCGGCCGCTGGTTTCGGAGCACTCTTCGCAGCGTTCCTCTTCGCCTCCCACTTTCCATGCTGTTTATCAAGTTTTTCCCTGAATGCGGCGTCATTCACCAACTCTGACTTTGCAGCTTTCTCTTTCCTTTGCTGCTCAGCTTTAGTCCTCTCTTGTTCTGCTTTCCGGCGAGCTGCGTCGGCTGCTGCACGCTTCTCCTTCTCTTTCCTCTCCAGGTTAGCCTTCTCGATTTGTGTCCCTTTGGCTTTTCTATTTTCTTCCTTTCGAAGTGCTGCCTCGAAGTCGTCGTCTTCCTTCTTCTTGCGCTTCTCTTCCTTTTCTTTCTCATTCTTCTGTTCCTTTGCGGCTACACCTTTCGCTTGGTCTGCCAGATGTTGAGCTCTGCTGAACTCATCATCCTCTTTTTTCTGGCGTTTCTCTTCTTCTTCCTTTTGTTTGTGCTGTTTCTTTAAAGCTTCGACCTTCTCGTCCTCCACAGCTTTAAGCTTCTTCTTCTCTTCCTTCTGGATTGCTGCTAGTCTATCCTTCTCTGCCTTTTCAGCTTTGTCTTTCTCTTTCTTCTCGGCTTGAAGCTTCTCTTTTTCTTCTTTAAGCTTCGCCTGCTCTCCTTTCCGACGCTCTGCTTGAGCGCGGGCGTCCTCCTTCTTCTTGCGTTTCTCTTCCTCTTCCTTTGCCTTCCGCTCTTTCTTGGCGGCTTCATCTTGCGCTTTCTTTTCGTATTTGACTAGACTTTGCTCTTGCTTCGGCTGATCATGGCCCTTCTTTCCAAATAAGACGAGACTTTGCTCTTGTTTCGGCTGGTCATGCTCTCTCTTTCCTAACTTGACCAAACTCTGCTCCTGATTCGGCTGCTCAATCATCAGCCGGGCTTCTCTCCTCCGCTTACGTTCCTCTTCCTTTTCTTCCGCTCTTCGTGCGGCGGCTCCTTGTTTAGTGGTGGCCAGCGTTGTGACTATGAGCTTCTGTTCCTTCGCTTCGGCTTGCATTATCAGCTTCTGTCCCTTTGCGGCTTCTTCGGCTGCTGTCTTCAGCCTCCGTTGCTCCGCCTTCTCGGCCGCTTTGGTATCGGTGGCCTCGAGTTTCGCACTCGATCTGAATAAGCCAATGTGTCGATGTTCAGAGCTCTGTGTATGGCTTTCATGCGAACGGAATTCACTCGCGCTGGATTTGTGATCGAACTTCTGCTCCTCCTCATGTGGCCTGTTGTCGATTGCGAGATGCTTAGCTCCGGGCTTCTTGTCTTTGGCCGCTTCTTTGGCTACGAGCTTCAGTCTTTGCTTCTCTGCCTCGGCTGCTTTCTTGGTATCAGAGGACTCATGCTTTACGAGAGACTTCAGTTTCGACTTCTCCTTGTCTTGGGCCTTCTTCTCAGATGCGAGTCGTTTAGCTTCGAGCTTCTCCCGGGCCTCTTCCGCTTTCTGAGCCTCTTTCTTAGCTTTCGCAGCACTTGGGTCCCCAGACTTATCGGCATGCATGTTGGTAAATGGAACAACTTCCTTACCAACCTTCTCACCCCTCTTGTTTTCGCTCTTCTCATCAGCTTTCTCAGCCTTGTGCACTGGTTTCAGTTTCGAGGCTGCTTCCTTCGCTTCGGCTTTCTTCTTTGCATCCGCCTCCTTCTTGTTGGCGGCTTTGGAGTCTGCGTCTGTACTGTCTGACTTCGCTCCACCGTTCTTACTCTCCTTAAGTTCAGCGTCCTCATGTTCAGCATCCTTGCGTTCAGAACCCTTGTTTTCAGAATCCTTGTGTTCAGAATCCTTATGATCAGCGTCCTTCTCTTTCTTAGCCTTTCGTTCGGTCCTCTTCTTTGCGATGATATCTCTCTTCGAGGGTCCTTTGTCGGTCTTGGCGTTCGTAACATGTTCGTTGTTGATCGTTCGGTTGGTAATCGTCTGATTGGTGATTGTCTGGTTGTTGACCGTCTTGTTGGTGATCGTGTGGTTGGCAATCTTCTGATTAGTCTTTGCGCTGTCTTCTGCGCTCTGCTTTCCCTTGGCTGGACCATCTGCGCTCTTCTGATCTTTAGTCGTATCGTCATGTTTGGTACCCGAGGCAGCAGCTTCTTTCTGGGCGTTAGCTTCTTTCTTCGCTGCTTTCTTGACTTGATTCGCTTTCTTCCTCTCCTCCCGCGCTTCCTTTATCTCAGCCTCCGTACGCGCGGGTTGTTTAGCAGCATTTTCTTCTGTGTCGTTTGTGCCTTCCTTAACCGGTTCACCTGCGCTCTCTTGTTGAGAATTGGCGTCATTCCCCGCAGCCTTATTCAACCTCTTTGCCTCTTTCCTGTCCTTTCTTCCCTGCAAGACCAAGTCTCGATTCATCACAGGTTTCTGCTTGGCACCGTTCGCATTCGCGCCGTTTCCGTTGCTGATGCCTTTGCCTTGAGCGTTGGGGCTGGTAGGGCTCTGCGCAGCCTCCAAGTTTGCCTCCTGCGCTTCTCGCCCCGCCTGTGCGTGTTGCCTTGGTCCTGGTACGCCGTGCAGACCCAGGTGTAGTTCATCACCACGTCTATGACTGGCGGGATCCATGTGATTCTCACCTTGGTGATCACGATCTCTAGGATCGCCGCGCTGCATATATGGGTGTCTTTCTTGACGTAGTCCGTTACCATGACCTTCTTCGGCGTGATCCGGATAATTTCCGCCCGGGTAACCATGACCTCTAGAATCGCCATGTCGTGTATCTGGGTATCTTCCCTGTTGGTGGCCATGGTTACCGTCCCAATGGCGACCGTCTTGTTGACCCTGTTGTCCAGGTTGTCTTGCGTGATCTTGATGATTTCCGCCTCGGTGATTAGGACCACTAGGGTCGCCATGCTGCGTATCTGAGTGTCTACCCTGTTGGTGGTCATGATCTTCGTCCGAATGACTGCCACGTTGTTGATCATGATGTCCTTGGGTTTCATCATGCCCTCCAGCTGCCCTGTTTCCATCGGCTTGCGGTCTCCCCGCAGCATTACCAGCCTCCATCCGCCGCTCGTCCTCCTCTTCCTGCATACACTGCCTCTCCTCTTGTTGGTGAGTCTTCTTTTCCTGATCAGCGGTCTTCTTGTGCGCTCGCTCTTCGTCTTCGCTCTCCTTTCTCAATCTTTTCTCCTCAGCTTCAGTGGCTCGTCGAGCCTTCTTATCTTCTAGTTCGGCCTGGCGTCTTTGGACCTCAATTTCCCGCTCGGCACGCTTTGCTTCTTGCTCCATGGCATGCTCTGCCATACTATGGGTAGCTTGAGCAGCCTTTTCTTCCATCGTGCTTTGCTTTTCAGCCAAATGCATCTGCCTCTGGGCTTCTCGCTCCGCCTTTCTGGCCTCTTGTGTCATGGAGCGTTCCTCAATACGTTGAGATGCTTCTTCTGCTCTGAGTTCGGCTTGCTCCTGAGCTCGTTGAGTCTTTTCGGCCGCATCGAGTTCTCTTTGAGTCTTGCGGGCTTCTCTATCGATTTCCTGTTGCTGTTGTCGTTGAACGGCATCCTCGGCCTTACGTTCCCGCATCTCCTCTGCCCGTGCCCTTTTCATCTCTATATCATTCGCCCGCTTAGCCTTCTGGGCTTCACGGTCCATCTCGCGCTGTTCTTTCCGCCGTTCGTCCTCCTCGGCCTTTCGTTCGCGTTTGGCCTCCTGCTCTTCCACTCGACGAGTCTCACGTTCCTCTCGATCAGCCTCTTTCTGTTCATCCTTTCGCTCCTTCTCTTCCGCTTTCTTTTCATCCTTGCGCTCCTTCTCTTGCGCTTTCTTTTCATCTTTTATTGCCTTCTCCTCCGCCTTCTTCGCTTCTTTTTCTTGCTTTGCAAACTGGCGAGCTTCGTCTGCTGCTTGCTTTCGAGCAGCTTTATCTGCAACTTCCTGGGCTTTTTGTTGTTCTCGCAACTGTTGCTGTTGGTGCTGTGCCTGCTGTTGCGCCTGATACTCTTCATCGTCTTGGGCTTTTTGTTGTTCTTGCCACTGTTGCTGCTGTTGGAAGGCCCGCTGCTGTGCCTCGGCCTTTGCAGCTTCCTGATCAGCCCAATCTGCCTCTTCCCTGGCGGCGAGTTCATCATCCGCATGCTTCTGCTGCGCTCGTTGCATCTGAAGTGCTTGTTGACGTTGTTCATATTCGAACTTTCTCTGAGCAGTCTCGTGGGCCGCAGCTTCTGCAGCTTCTTGCTGTGCTGCGAGCTCGTCTTCCTCGTCTTGCTCTTCCTGCGCTTGTTGCTGCGCTAGATGTCTCTGTTGCATGGCAGCTTGCATGTTCTCTTGGCGTTTCCTGTCGATTTCTTGTCTTTGAGCTTGTATCTGGCGTCGCTGTGCTTGATAATGCGCTTCTTCCGCCGCGGCTTTGGCCGCTTCCTGTTCTTGCGTCATTCGCTCGTCTGAAGCCTTCTTTGCCAGTGCAGCTCTGATTTGCTCTTGACGTTGACGCTCCATTACCTGATCTTGAGAAGGCATCTGGATTTGACGTCCTGCTGACTCGTATGACTGTCTTTGAACAATCGGTCCCCGCTCTGGATTGTCATAGTCGTCGGTGCCTTCTACCTCCTCTTCTGCTTCTTCCATATATTCTTCATATCCGTCTTCCGCTTCCTCCTCTTGTATTGAACGCTGGTAGGGCTGCTGCCATAACGGCAGACTTGTTCGGGAGGGTTGCACAGGTTGCGGAGGAAACGGAGCAACGTCTTGGAAGTGCTGGTGTTGGATAGGGATATCCTGGCGCCGATCTGCTTGTCGTAATTCAGAAGGCGTATATGGATGCACTGGAGGCTTTGAACCAGAATCTTGGCGATGCTGCGGAGGCATTACCCGCGAATCATGGCCATTCGGTCCTGGCCTCAGTGCTTCTGGAACCACGGAAGCTTGTTGAGGGTAGCCAACAGGCGGTATCTGAACATTGCTAGCTGACTTATGGTGTGGCAAACCGCCGTCTTCAGGTTCGCTATCGCTCTCAGATGTCCCATCGTCTGAAGCTCGTTCATAGTCACTGCTGTCAACGTCGCTGTCATCCAAGTGCTCATCTTCGTCGACCCCTGTACCTTCCACGTCACTATCGTCTTCTGGTTTGTCTCTAATATCTTCATCGCTGACTTCGCTGCGATACGACTCATCATCAGTATCGTATTCATCAGCAGGAGGTCCTTGGGCGCGTGGATCAACAGCGACACGAATAGCGATGGCCGGATGTGCGACTGCCATGATATCTGATATTGCTGTTATGTAACTCGGTATGTTTAACTGGAAAGTGTGTGAAATCAGGCCTGCCTGTATGATGTGTTAAGTTGGTGTCTATTCTGGGAAATGTAGTCAAGAAAATGGCCTTAGAACATTGGCCACGTCTAGGACTTTATACCTGGCATAGGAGATATTCCAAAACAAGATTGTGAAGCTTTCGTTGAATTTGCGGTATTGATGTCGAACTCGGGTGCGTGAAGAGGCCCAGACCATCACCAGATCAGCACCTGGAGGCCTGCGTTCGTCATACCCTCATGTGTAGTCTTGAAGTCTGAGAACGTTGACTGACCAGTTCTTCTGAATTCTTTTCAAGGGCACTTCAATATCTACATTCTTACTGAATTCCTATTCGAGTAATAAGCATAATGACCCCACGATCAAGCTTTCAAGTAAAGAGCATCGCACGTGCTCGTTGTGATGTAGCAGTTCTTCAACAGTGAGAGAGTGAAGTTTAGCCTGCCAGTGAATTGTTTATTACGAGCACGCTGACCATAAATTTAGCTCTCTGGGAGTATGCAGATATAATCAGACTTAACCACTGCGCCTACACCCATCGCCTAGGATTAAACCAAACAGCCGGGAACTGTACAGAAGCTCTACCAAATCCGAAATTCCCAGCTTTACCGCCAAATAAGCTTCGCAGAAGCCACCTTAACACCGGACCAACAAGCGATCGCCCGCTACTTCATCATACCTCGCCTCTACCAACCATGTGCATCGGCGTCAACAGCGAAGCCTGCCCCGACTGCGGGCAATGCGGCAAAGGCCACGACCCCTACCTCCAAGGCGGTACAAAATGGATCCGATGTCCAGCCTTCATCAACTCAATAACAGAAAAGGAACCCTCAAGGCCTAAATGCGAATCCATCATGCGCGATCAGATTGGAAAGAAAGGGGACTGTGCAGTCTGTAGATCGCGGAAGACATTTGAACAGAGGAAGGCAGAAGGGAAAATGACGCCGAACGAACTGAGACTGGAAAGAATGAGGCTGGCGAAGGAGAGGTTTGACAAGGATGTGAAGACCAAGAGGAAGGAGTTGTGGGGAGATCAGAAGGGCGGGATTGGTGATGGAAATGCCGGTGCTGCTTGACTTGCGGAAGGGCTACATGTGTATTGTGATGTTGCGATTTCATTTAGTAGTTCTTCAAGCATAGGGATGTGAATTCCAGCGTACCTGTAAGATATAAACCGCTCTCGAGTCCCATGAATATCCACTTCCTCATATATACAGAACTACCGATCAAGAAAGCATTATACTAAATTACTCCAACTAAACACATCGATTTGACATCGACCACGTACCTAGCCACCCTACTTCCAACAAGCTCAACACCCCACCTATACCCCAGTTCAGCAGTATCAAAGCCGGGTGTCCACCAAACCCACGAACCAGCACATCTACCCACCATAATCCACACATGTGTACAGGCATCCGCGTCCAAACCTGTCCCGATTGCAGGCAATGTGGGCCAGACCACGCACCGTACCTCCAAGAACATGTACAAATAATTCCATGTGCAGCGTCTAGCGTACCAATATCGGGAATAACTCGCGTCGCCACCAAATGTCCCGGACTAATTTTCAGAGACGATCACACACTGTCGCGGGGGCCTTGTGCAGACTGTTTGTTGAGAGCACACCAGATGGCCGTGAGAGAGGCAGAATATAAGCAGCAGCAGAATAGGAGAAGTGAATCGAAGAAAACTCTCAACGCGGCCGAATACAAGCAGCAGCAGAACCAGAAGAGTGAAGCGAAGAAAAATCTCAAGGCGGCTAAGAGTGCGTGGAAGGCTACTGATCCTACTAAGGCACCTACCAAGAAGGTGGCCAAGGATACTGCTAAGAAGACTCCGAAGAGGACCCGGGGGGCCGTGGATAAGAAGACCCCGAAGAGGACGACTAAGGATATGACTGACCAGGCTGCTGCGGAGGTGTTGATGAACATGTCTAATTATCAGCATCAGAAATAGGCTGCTTGACCTAGTGCTGAGGGCGGAACCGCAGTATGGGAGGCTCGTGATCGGTAGATGCGGAAGTCTACATGTGAATGTGTCTGATTACTTTACATTTGTATTAGTTCAAGGTTGAGAATCGGGGTTAGCGATAAATGAGAAACATTAGTAACACTCTCTGTACGACTTGATGAACAACGATTGCAACCCCATCTGACCATCAACCTCCCACGGATCTACCTCCACACCCGCAATCCGCTCGAACCGTCTCCTCTGTTTACCCTCCATCGTTGTCCAGGTGAACAACAACTACGAGGGCCGCGCCCTGAACTCGAAGGTGCAACCCACTTAGACCTCTTCTGCACCGACCACGGATCTACCTCCACACCCACACCCGCAATCCGCTCGAACCGTCTCCTCTCCTCTATATATACCTCGTTCTTCCAGCTTGTCTCCCAAGCCTTGCGCAAATATGCCCTTGTTTCCTTGATGAATTGCTTCCGGGTCTGACGTCTTGGGAATCTCGCATCCGCATTCACATCCGCATTTTCCAGGACGATGCGTCCAGCCGACGCGAGTAGGTAGTATGACTCCTGGCACGGAAAACAGCAGGGTCGGTACGAGAAGTCGGGAAACCAATGAACTCCGGGTGCTCTGCCGTGTCTGTGGAATTCGCCTTGCACGATGTATTGGAGGATGTGGAACACATCTGCGTAGATGGTAGATAGCTCCTCAAATAGCTCCTCTGAACTCCTTCGACGGGCATTTTCTGAAAGGGAGAGCTGGTTGAGCTGAGTGAGTAGGCAGCGGGCGATGGTGATGTGGAAGTGATAGGAATATTCTTTTACTTCGTCCAAAACGGCGCTGATGTAGGTAGGGAGTCGTCGTTCAACGAAACGCGTATATAGATTGGATAGACGGTCGATTACGCTGATACCTTTTGTGCAGGCGGCTACGCAAGACAGGTCATTCTTGGCATGCTCAGCGTCGTTGGCGCGTTCTCTGTGTATCGAAAGCTCAGTGAGGAGAGCATGAGCATCGGGCCAGTGTGGTTGATTGACGATTTGTATCGTGTCTTGTAGAAGATCCTCATGAGTGCAGCCTTCAATCGTGAGACGGGCGCAGCCACGGATGCCATCTCGTATGGGTTGTAATAGCTGTTCTTGTATACGCCGTGAAGGAACCTCGCAATTTCCTTCCTCATCAGTGTTCGTACCTGCGTTCAGTGTGGCGTGTAACTTTACCCCCCTATCTGGTATTTTCATGTGGCCATGGTACATCCTTTCAGTCTCCAATCTCTTGCAGAACTCGCTCAGGTCCGACAACAGCATCACTATCCTGGTTGTTAAGGAGCGACGCAATCGAAGAAACTGGTCGAGCTGAAAGACGAGGTCCATCTCACAATGCGGGAAGACATTTGGTTCTTCTTCGCTCAAACTGGGGTGTGGCTCTGGTATGCAGCCACCAGTGTGGCTGATGGAAAAGATGTGGATCGGTTGGCAGGGCCCGTGGAACCAGTCTTGTATATTGGCAGTCCGAACCTCGACGCGCACGAAAGGGTTTCGGTTTAACAGGAGAGGCTTTGCTTCGTTATATATCTGCTTGTTTGCGAGGAGTATACTAGTACTAAGGTTGCATTGCATTAGTACTCTAGTATTAGAGTAATGTTGTCTATATTTATTTTAATTTTAATTAAATTTAATAATTTATTTTTTTAGTTTCTTATAGTAATATATAATATAAAATTATGCCTAGTAAAGCTTTTTTTATTATTATTATTTACTACTACTACTATTTTTAATTCTATACACGCTTAACTATTAAGACTAAAGTAATTTTACTTAATACTTTTAATATTTAAGTAAAGTTTTTATTACTAAATAGTATATTTATAAATACTTTTTTACTTACTTATATCTTAATATTAAACTTAACTTTTTTTTATATTTTTATAATTATATTAATTTATTAACTAATATATAGCTTTACTAGTATAATATTACTATTATTAATTTTAATTATATTTTAAAGTTTTATAAGAGCTACTATTAAAAAATAAAAAGCTTTTAAGTAGTTAACTTTAGTCTAGAATATTTTACTATTAGTAAATATAATAGTATTAATTATACTTACTAGTATAACTTCTACTACTAAATTACTATTTAGCTTAACTATATAAAAAAAGCTTAGCTTATAAAGCTTTTTATTAACAAAGTTAGCTAAGTAATTAATACTATTTATTAGTATAGTTTTAAAACTACTAAAAGTATTAGTAAAAAAATAAATTTAGTAAATATTATTAAATATAGTTATTTTAAAGCTTTAAAGTTAGTAAAAGTAGTAAAATAAAAAAAAGTATTAATTTAGAGTTCTAAGTAATAAAGTATAAAAGAAAAAAGTAAAGATTAAAATAGTATTTTAACTTAAAGTATATCTATAAATTTTTTTCTTACTATTATAACTAAATTTTATAGCTTTAGCTATATCTTTAAACTTAAAAAAGCTTATAAAGTTTTATAGTTTTTATTATAGAAGTATCTTCTAATAATTTATTAAAATTTTTTTTATTTATAGCTTATCTTTAAGTCTTTTAGCCTAAAACTATTAGTTAAGCTTTTTATAACTTATAGATAGGTAGAGAGTCTATTTTTTTGTAAATTTATTTATAGAAAAAAGTGTTAAAAGCTAGAATTATTTGTGTATTGCAAAAAATTTATATTAGTGCTAAGACGTCGCTGCTTTACTATGGGTGCCTCCGCATGCAGGTTTGAGTATTCGTGGATAGTATAGGGAGCTGTTTGAAAGCTATCGAAGCCCAGCGCAAATTCGTAGACATTGTCTCGTAGCTCGCGTGGTAGATCAAGAAGGCGGAAAGGCTGTTCGGTGAGGTGAGTGTTCATGATGTCTGGCAGGAATTGTGGTGTAGGAAGGTAGGAGCGTTCAAGGAGCTGACGTTTGCTCGTACACGGCTGGCAGTAGCGGCTCGCTTCCACTGCATGTGTCTAGCGCAT